GTGTTTGAATTGTGGTGCTGGTGAAGAATATTGACTATAGAATAGACTTCCAGAAGAACAAACAAAGCTGTCTTGGAAGAAATACAGCCAGAATGCTGCTTAGAAGTGAGGATGGTGAGACTTCATCTCACGTAATTTGGACATGTTATCAGAAGGGACCAGTCCCTGGAGAAGGTCATCTTGCTTGGTAAGGTAGAGGATCAAAGAAAAAGAGGAAGACCCTGGGCAAGATAAATTGACACAGTGGCTGCAACAACAGGCTTAAGCATAACAACGATTATGAGGATGGCGCAGGACAGTGTTATGTTCTGCTGTTCATAGGGTCACTATGAGTTGGAACCAACTCAATGGCACCTAACAACAAAAATAACATTGTGTATTCTTTTTCAAAGCAATACCTAAGATTTCAGCACCCTTCTCAGGTAAGGGAGGAGAATTCGACTTGGCAACTTCTTTGTTAAAAGTTCTTCTCTCTTCTTGAAAGCCCTACTTGCATTCTTTCCTTGTTTCTATAAGAAGAATATTGAGAAATAGGCCCCTAGGTGTCCCAAATGAGGTTCAAATAGTTCTGATTGGACGTCACCAATTTCTGAGCTGAGGAAAATACTAAAAAATGTCAAAATGCCTACTTATTACCCCTACCCTACACCCTTTGATCTTCTGCAGAAACTCAGCTGCAACCATTCCCATCGTGGAGGGAGTAATATGAACTCTGAGACCGGGAACTTGTCAATATTCGGAGACCCCCTCCATCACCTCCAGGCGAAGGCTGGAAGCTGCCATCTGGATGAAATCTGGCAGTCGAGAGGGAAAGAAGGGCAAGTGACATTTGTCTGGCCTCTGACTCTATGTGTCCTGCAATATCTGTCCAAATGTGATTGAAAAGAACTTTTGGTCTAGTGCAGAGATGGGAGAGAGCCCAGAGTTTGGCTGATCCACAGACAACCTGACAGATGGGGAAACTGAAGCTGCCCATCCTTCCTTTCTGCGCTCCATTCTCTCAGGCTTCATCTCAGTGGTTCTATCTGGAAAGCATTTCCCTAGCTGTCTCCCGCAATGCTAACCACCACATCCTTCCCTCCCATCTCTACTTAAGCTTCAAGTACTCAGGGACACTTCCCTGGGTCAAGTGGTTTCTGTTAAAGTGTAAAAACCAGTTGCTATCTAGTCAATTCACACTCATGGTGACCCCATGTGAGTGCGAGTAGAACAGTTTTCCACAGGGTTTTTAATGGCTGGTTTTTTGGAAGTAGATAGTCAGGACTTTCTTCTGAGGTGCCTCTGGGGAGACTCAAACCTCTAACCTTTCAGGTAGCAGCTGAATGTGTTAACTCTTTGTACCTCCCAGGGACTCCCTGTTAAAGTGTACCCTCAAGGAAACCCCTTGTTCTCTTCCCAGCATCTTTATCGGTTAATAAGTATGTATCAACTGGTATGATTTTATAATTAACATGCCTTCCTCATTAGATTTAAACAGACATCCTAGATCCTGAATTTTTTTAAACTTTTTAAGACTGAAATAGAACACATGTGGAAAATGCACAACTACAACTCCTGAGACTGTGGCGGAAAAGGAACACATCTGTACAAACATCACCCAAGTCATGAAATAGAATAGTCCCAGCATCTCAGAAGCCATCTTCCCTCCTTCCAAGAGGCAACCACTCTCCTGACTTTCATAGATTAGTTTTGTCCCTTTTAAAAAAAGTTTTACTGTTGTGTGTATTCTCAACAACAACAAAAAATAAAACAAATTATAAAAAAAGTTTTAAATTTTAAGCCATTTTCTACTGAGGCATAATTTACATGCAGTGAAATTTACCCTTTATAATGTACAGTTCTATGAGTTTTGATGAACACATAATTATGAAATCACCACCTCAATCAAAATTTATAACATTTCCATCACCCCCAAAATTGCCTCTGCCTTTTGTAATCATCCCCCTACCCCAGCCCTTTGAAACCACTAATCTATTTTCTTTTGCTTCAGAATCGACTCATCAGCAATGGTTCTACCAATTCCAGAATATCATATAAATGCAATTATCCAGTATTGTTTTCTTTTGTATCTGGTTCTTTCACTCAATGTAACATTTGTGAGATTCATCCATGACATTGTATGTAACTGTAGCTCATTTTCATTGCTGTATGAATATACTACAATTGATTTATATCCTTGGATTATACCGCAATGTATTTCTCCGTTGTATTGTTGGACATTTGGGTTGTTTCCAGTTAGGGGCCACTACAAACAATGCTGCTATAGCTATTCTTGCACGGGCCTTTTCACGTACGTGTATCTCCTTTATAGTTTAAAAACAAACAAACAAAAACAAAAAAACCATTGCCGCCCAGTCAGATTCCGATCCACGGTGACCCTATAGGATAGAGTAGAACTGCGCATAGGGCTTCCAAGGCTGTAAACCTTTATGGAAGCAGACTACCACATCTTTCTCCCGCACAGCGGTGGTGGGTTTGAACCGCCAACCATTCAGTTAGCAGCTGAGTGCTTTAACCATTGTGCAACCAGGGCTCCTCCTTTATGGGTTCGGTGCTGGGCTGTTAACCAAAGGTCAGTAGTAGTTTGAACTCCCCAGCTGCTCTGCAGGAGAAAGACGTGGCAGTCTACTTCAGTAAAGATTTACAGCCTTGGAAAACCTGTCGGGGCAGTTCTACTTTGTGCTATACGGTGGCTCTGAGTCAGAATCAACTCAATGGCAATGGGTTTGGTTTGGAATGGGTTTGATCTACAATTGTTCTAGAATTCATATTTGTATATGGCGTGAAGTAGGGGGTCAAGTTTCTTTTTTTTTCCCCTAAGTGAATATCCAGTTGACCCAACACCGTTCATTTTTTTTAAAAAATCCTTTCCACTTTGAAATAAAACTGTCTATACACATGTGGCCTTGATTTCTGGACTCTTTGTTCTATTCCACGGGTGTATTTATCGTAATCCTCCTACTTGGTTCTTCTTTTTCAAGATTTTCTTGGCTATTCTTGATCATTTACATTTCTACATATTTTTTAGAATCTTATCAGTCTTAACTTTGCCTCTCAGCACATGACAGGGGCCTGGGGCACAGTAGGAACCCAATGCATAGCTGTTGCCTTTTTCACTTGCGGGGTGCCACCAACACCCCCATCCCATCCCCAGAAGCGCGCCTATAAAGTGCAAGGACCCGCGCTGGGCGGAGCACGTCTTTTTCCTCCCCAAATCCGGCTGCTTTTTAATAGTCGCTCTCCTCGACTCCGCCTCCATCTCGCCTAACCGGCCGGAAGGGCGCGCCCTCCTCCTACTTCCCTCGATTGTGGGTATGCGGGGATGGCGGCGGCAGCAGTGGTTTCGGGAGGCAGCGGCCCCAGCACGGACACCCGGCTGAACCAGGAGACGACCCAGTGGCTGCGATGGGACAAGGTGAGGGGCGGCCGAGGGCTGCGAGCGCCAGGAGGAGGCGCCTTGTCTTCTGCCACCTTCCAGGCTCTGGTGCCGCGTTTCCTGCAGCGAGACTGATGCCTGCGCTTCCTCCATTCCCTCCCCTCTCACCCCGCGGGAAGACGGAGGAGGAGGACGTGGCGGTCAGGCCTCCTTAGCCCGGCCAAGGTGTGGCAGGCTCTGAATTTGCCCAGGAAGGGTTGTTCCTGCCCCGGGACAAAAGCAGTCATCCGACCTGGGCGGGGCTACAAGTTCGGGAGTGAGGGAACGAACGAGGGTTGGTCTGAACGCGGCCCGGCTCTGGTCTCTGTGTGGTTGAAACACACTCGCGTTCCTGTCACTCAGATCGTCGGATCGTCCTCATCAGTAGTCTGTGCGTGGCACACACACCCAGAGTCGCCGAGTCGCGCCTGTTCCTCTCGCTGCTGGGGCCTTTGTAGAGCAGCAATTGCGTCCTCCTCTTTTAGGGGCTTGGTTACGAACACTGGGCTGCTCCGTGTATGTCCGCATGGTTTCAGGAAAGAGTGTCCCTCTGATTTTTCGGAGAAGACGGGAGGGAAACCCTTGCAGACAGCACCCCCAGCTTTTCTCCTCTTCACTCTTTTTCTTAGATGCTGGAGCAAAGAAAAAATCTGGGACCCAGTTCCGCACTTCACTCACTCCCTTTTCTAACTTGAGTCTCTCCCTTCCTTAGTACGCCTTTCTGTGTTCTGTGCCATTTGCCCAGAATGCTCCTCTCTTCTGCCGAGCTCTTTCTCATATTTCAGTTCTGGGCTTATATTCGCTTACGTAGAGAAGCTGTCCTGGCTACCTAACGTAAATCTTTTCCCCTAATATTCTCTCTCAAAGCAGCTCGTTTTAGTTTTTTCTCCTTCGTAGCGTTTATTGCAACAAAAACTCATAGCTCTTGTAAAAAAAAATAATAAAATGCTTGTTTGTAGGTTTATTTATTTAATGCCTGTCTCCAGGGCTGGCTTCATAAGCATGGGACTTGGTGCTCAGTAATGCTTTGCTGTCTGCCTCTTAAAATTCTTAATAGTTTCTGAATGAGAGATCTGTGTATTCATTTTGCATTGGGCCAAGAAACTATGTAGCCGGTCCCGTCTGTCTCCTTGAGTATATCTCCTTGTTTATAGCGCCTGGCACAGTGCATGACACATAGTAAAAAAAAAAAAAAAACCCATTGCCATCAAGTTGATTCGGACTCAATGCGACCCTATAGGACAGAGTAGAACTGCCCCATAGGGTTTCCAAGGAGGGACTGGTGGATTCAAACTACCTACTTTTTAGCCAGCAGCCACCTCTTAACCAGTGCGCTACCAGGGCTCCCATCCTGTGCTAACCAAAAACCAAACCCTTTGCCATGGAGTGGATTCCGACTCAAAGCAACCCTATAGGACAGAGTAGAACTGCCCCGTAGAGTTTCCAAGGCACGCCTGGTGGATTCGAACTGGCGACCTTTTTTGTTAGCAGCCGTAGCTCTTAACCACTATGCCACCAGGATTTTTGATCTTATACTAGGTACCTAAAAATATCTGTTGAATAAATGAATGAGATTGCAAGCCCCTTTATCAGGAGCCAGGTTATGAGGCAGATCCTGCTTCCAAAATGCCATCAGCAACTCCTTGGGTGAAAAGACAGCCCTGTGATTCTTAAGGGAAAGATAATGTTTCCATTTTTGATACCTTAATAACTTGTGTGTAGAATTTTATTTTTTTAAGTCAGAGTTGGTAGTTCATTGTTCCATAAAACTTTCCGTTTGAAGAAATAAAAACCTCATTTCTGTGAGATGTTGGGTCTGAGATAGTACGGAGAGAGAATACCTCCCTTGGTAGAGACGTGGAATCCTTGGGTGGTGCAAATGGTTAAGCACTGGATTAGTAAGTTCAAACTCACCCAGAGGTGCCTGGGAAAAAAGGCCTGGCAATCTGCTTACGAAAGGTCATAGCCTTGAAAACCCTGTGGAGCACAGTTGTGCTGTAATACACATGAGGTTGCCATGAGTGTGAATCAACTCAAAGGCAACTGGTTTGGTTTTTGGATTTTGGTAGAGCTGAGAGGATATTGTCCTTTTTTATTTTTGAATTTTTACCATTCTTCATTCTCTTTTCTCTTCCAGTTTCTTTTCTGGCTTGAGACAGACAGCTAGTGGCGAAAGGTCCCCTTCACCCCTACTGCGCCTTTCTTGGATGAACTAAGGGGCCCCTAGTAAGCTTCCAGCCAGCTGGAAGCATCACAGCCAGGCTCTGATTCACCTAAGACTGGTGAGGTGTCCTGGGAACTGCTTTGCCCTCCGCTCCGCAGGGCCTTTCCACCATCCCTTCATCCCTGTTCTTTTCTCGATGGTCGGTTTTGGTCACTGCTGATTCTAACCTGCAGCCTTCTTGACTTTTGATTCTTACCTCTCTGTCTCCTTTATTTTCTCCCTGGCTACTTGACCTTATGTAGATATCAAAGGGTGATCAGACTTTTCACATCTACATTGTAAATGAGAGAATCACTGGGTATTCAGTGTGGCCTTGAGGTCTCTGTGTTTTCTGATGCACTCAGCAAATACTTTTTGAGTTTCTTGTATGTACCAGGTGCGAGCCCTTCCTTGGGGTTACCTGACAATCTGATGGGAAAGACTCTGTGATCAGTGACTATTGATTTTAATCAAAACGGTGCACTTTTATTTGTTTTTTCCTGAACTTGGAACAATCTGGAAGTCTGGACTTAATTCCAGAAAGGTGAGGTTTTATTGCAGTAGCATTTCAAAGTTTAATTAGGTGGCCATGTGTTGCCCTGGTGTTTATCTAATTGGATGATAACTGTACGAAAGTATTTGCTTCTTGTTCCCCTGAATTCTTAATTATGAAGTAAAAGTCTAATAATGGAATTAATGTGATTGTTATTAATTTTCTCCA